CTTCATGCTACAGCATCTCAACAGTGCTGGTACCTACACCAGAGTTCTGTTTGTGGACTTCAGCTCAGCTTTCAGCACCATAGCATCAGAGCTGCTGCAGATTAATCTGTCCCAGCTGTCTGTGCCAGATCCCATCAGCCAGTGGATCATGGCTTTCCTGTCAAACAGGATACAGCAGGTATAGCTTGGAAAACACATGTAAGACCCCCAGACCATCAGTACTGGAGTTCCACAAGGTTGTGTGCTCTCACCCCTTTTCTTCAGTCTGTACACCAATGACTGTGTCTTCAAGGAACCAGCCGTGAAGATCTTATCATTTGCAGACCACAGCACTGTGGTGGACGTTGTGGAAGGTGGTGTATCTGCCTACAGGAAGGAAGTTGAGCAGCTGCTCTCATGATGCTGCAGCAACTACCTGCTGCTAAATGCAGAAGACTGAAGAGATGGTGGTAGATTTCAGACACAGCCCTCCCTCAATATCAATGAGAAATACAGAGCACCTAAACCCTATCAGAACCAGTCTGTTCAAAAACACAGTCAGCATTCAACAAATAGCACTAAAACTCTCCAAAAAAAAGATAAAGACTATTACAGCACAGCACTTCTTAAATTTTGGTTAATGTGCTGTCAGACCCTTTGGTCATGTGAGGTAATATCAGTTTTGTCCATGTACAGCGTGTGCGTGACACTAGAACTTCACATAAATCAGGCCAATGTTTAGGATAGTAAGTCTATACAAAACAGAATGTGACAATCTGACTGAATTATTATCCAGAGTTTATTGGAACCTGTATTAGAATAGATTTCCCATATAATAGCCTCATACGACTGTTTACCTCCAAAAACCTTTATTTGTGTCAATTGTGACTCTTAATTTCTTAAAACCTTACCTATCCAGACCAGTTGGGCTGTGGCATATGCAGATCATTATGAGAAGTGAAAAGCTCAGACAGAGAGTGCTAAAGTCTGTGTAATGCTCAATAGAAATGAGCCAGTTTACTTGAAACAGGATGAAGTGAGTTTGATAAAGGGCGTGTTGCTCTAAGCCTAATCATTAGAAGCTTCAAGCTCTCGTCAGTAGCTCAGAGGAAATTCACACTTCCGGAGATCTCATAGTCTATGACCGAATAGTGGATGTGAAACCTGAATCGCACAGCAAGGTTGAGCTATGAAAAATGTTTCTCATCATGACATTATTCTGTCTCCAAAGACAATTAATGCAGAGTGCTCACCTATTGACTGGGCTGTCCGTATCACGGCTGATACCTTAGATCAGTGGTTTTCAAACTGTGGTAAGCACCCCGAGGTGGTAGACCAGATGACCTCTGAAAACTTGCTACATGCAAAAAAGGAATTAATGAATAACTGAAATTCTAAAGTTTAATAGTGTAATTTGTATAATCTGTTTCAGAGTTTTCATAACTTTGTTTTAATAAAATTAGTTGGTGTTTTGTGTTTTAAAAATACCGTGTGGTCTATGCAGACACCATACTTCATTACGTCTATAACTCGCGCTCATTGTTTCCCAATCTCGAGCTTTCCAAGACGTTGTCAGTTGGTCTCTCGCATTTGCCCGAAACAGTGGTTAAAAATTAATAAACCCACACAGAGAAAATCAGGTGTGTAATATGTAGCCGGCAGGGCTAAAATGCATTGTTTTAGGGGACTTGTATTTTGACAACCGAATCTCCGTTGTGGCATTCCTAGGATGTTTAAAGTCTTGCATGACTGGAGTAAACTAGCATTTGGTCTCGTGCATGGCAGCAGGCAACAGTGGGCTGGGTATAAGCTGGTTTTGAAAGCTTCTTTATTTCTAAGTTATGGAGAAGATCTTGCTTTGTGAAAGAGTGGAGACAGCAGCAAGGAGGCTGTAACTACTGGCGAAGTAGGAGCTTTCAGTTTCTTCTTCGCCAGCATCAGAGGAGCCATCATGAAGCTTCACTGAAGCCGTAAAAAGGGTGTGGTCAGTTCTTTGGTTTGTGTCGTTCTTTAAACTTTACTTTCAGACCTTTAACTGTTCTTTGACGCTGCAGCCTTGCTCTTCTACAGCCGCGTTCAGCCATTTCTTTCAAAATATCCTAAAATGTGGAGGATTTTTGGATTAGTCTCTTCTAATTTTTGTACAGAAATATCACACAAATTGGTTATTAGCACTCAGCAGAACGAAATTATGATGAGTTGGATTGACGTAAAAGCCGTGTGAATTCCGAGCTGGCTGTTGAGACGACTTACATTAAGATACGCAGAGCATATTTACAGTACAAACCTTGTCAGTGATCTATGAGGGCAAAAATCAAGCAAAAAACAAAAACAAAATAATCATTCATTAATCTTAATTGAGGTAAAATATTCGATTAATCGTGATATTGATTTGAGGTCGTATCACCCAGCACTAATGTAACGTATTGGGACAAATAGCATTCTAGTAGCGATAGTTTATTGCTAGTGAGTGGTTGTTTTCCAAATTCTAGTTCTAGCTCAAATATTAAAGTGTGTTTATTTTTAGAGTGAACTTGGATGCGCTTGGAACCAGTGGTGTACGTTTGTGTGCCATCGTGCAGGTAAAAGTGCCTAGTGACCATTCTAGGCCATTTATGGTTAATTGCTTGTTAAAACACATTGAAATACATTCCCCTTCATGTTTACAGAGCATTTGAGTGCTGAGGGATAAAGAAAAGTCGGGCATTGAATACCACTAGTGCTGTCATTCGACAGGTACAAGCTCATTGAGTATATTCTGTTAAATTTTGGGGTCAGTCAATACTTTTACAGGTGGAGCACTGGTGATGATGGTCACTGTTTTTTTCTTAGTTTTTTCCTCCTTTGCTTTTTTTCCTCACTAGTGTTTTCCCCTTAGTGGGTTCCCCCTTTAGTGTTCCCTCTTGGTTTGCTTTTTTTAAGGTATTTTTCTTCTGTTTTAGGTAGCTTTTCTTAGATTGATTAGTGAGGCTATAAGTGCCCCAGTCAGTTGCATCTTCTCAAATAAGTGGGTGCTCTTGAAAGGTGCACTTCAGTGCTGTTTTAAATTAAAAAGAATCCTGTCTAAATAGGCTGTCTTCTCATCCTACGAATTTTGGTGGTGAGACACAATTTGGAGTGAGTGTTTTTTTGTGTTTTTTTGTTTTGGGTTGCTCATTTACTTGATTATTCTTGTTGGTAGTGTATTTATATATGCTGTTGGTTTGTTTGTCATTTGCATATGCGGTTTTAGTGCAAGGAGAGGATGTGGTTTTGGCTCTAGGAGATGAAAGGTCTGCACGAGGAGAGGAAAGGTCTGATTAATTAATACTAAATTTGCATTGAAAGTGTTTAAAAATATTCCAAAATCATGTTTGTTCTTAGTCTGTTAACTCTTGTTTGCCTGATGTGCTGAATTGGCTGCTAAATGTTGAGAGTTTTAGCATGCAGTTTCACTGGGTTTGAGAGAAAATACTAAAGGCATTTGGTCAGAAATGGTAGGAAAAATGTGACCAATTTTTTTGACAAAGTTTTTTATTTTGGGTACCCAAATAACATTTTTTTTACTCTCTCTTTCTTTTTTTCCATCCCGTTGGAGTAAGCCTTCACAGACTTCACAACATCAATACTGAGGGTTTTTTTTTTATTATTATTAATTTTCTCCCCTGTCCAATTCCATCCACTAGCTAGGTCTCCCCTCAACCACACAATACCACTAGTGCTAGGAGTGTGAAGGCTAGCACAAGCTTCCTCATAGTCATGTTAAGCCAGCCACTGCATCTTTTTGAGCTGCTGTTAATGCAGAGTCATTGGACTGCTGAATGAGCTTAGAGGAGAATGCTAACTGCCAATTCTGTTACATCAGCTAAATTTAAACTAAAACAATTTTTTTACAAGAATAATAAAAACTGCAGCATTTGCATTTTGAAATCAGCAGTGTTTCAAATCGTGATTTCAATATTATGCAATGAATCCTGCTTTGTACAGTGGAAGGCAAATGTGAAAGGAATTGTTATGACCTACCTTGAGTTGAAATGGTCACAAGGAAAAGGAGCTGATGAGAATTAAACAGAGCAGTAATGAAGATGAAATGGAATTTTAAAGCTCTGAGGGAGAAATCTGCAGGGACAGTCATTAAGGCTACAGTGACAAATGTCTGTCAGTCTTAATCTGCCTTGCATTAAAGTGCTGTTCTCTACCACAATAAGGTACTGAAGTAATATTTTTTTCTGTGTACAAAAACTTACTCTATACTTTTCCTGCATTGAGCTGTATTTTGTTTTTATGAACAGTTCAGTGTTGAGAGGTTCTCCTTTTATAGTATAGTTGAGACAGGTTTCCCAACACAAGTGTGGTTTTACAGCTAGTGTGGTTATACACCAAATTCAGTGGAAGACATGAACAAGGTTTATAAATAGCCATATGATCTGTACATACGTTTTCTTCACAGGCTGATTTCCTGGAGTGGTCTGTGGTCATCCCCCAGGCTATGCTTTCAGACGTCCGTATGAAGAACCCCTTTCATGTGCTTTGTTTTCACAATGCCACGGTTGGCCTCTGTCATCTTACTCATGTTAGGGTATAATCCATAAGGTGAACCTTAACAGAAGGTGGGTCCTGCAGAAAGACAATGACCCTAAAAACACCAGTTAGTCAACAAATAATGCCTTAATCCAACAGAAATGTTGCAGGTGTGGCTTTTTTCACAAAATGATAAGGGGCTCACAAACTTTGAAGCAGCAGTTGCAACAGTTGCAGCTGAGTCACTGAATTCAGTTGTACTGAACTGTGAATTTTAGCCACAGTTTGTAAAATTATAGATGTAATTTTTTTCTTTATAAATTCTGATGGGTAATGAAATTCTCATGCTATGCATATTGACAGCCTTTCATTTGAGCTTTGCACTTAACACACAGTCAGCCCACTTCCTTTAGTTTCTTTGTGGATGTGTATTGTGTGTGTATTATCTGTGTGTTTGTGGTTGTACGCATGAAGTTTTCTCACTGCTTTTCGAAACTCCATGCATTTCATCAGAGCTCACCGAGAGGTCTGGTCACAGCCAGCTTCTTACTCTCCATCATCACCATCTGTACTGTCTGACCTCTTTCTGTTTCCATGGGTAGCATTGCTGTGTGGGTCTTCATATTTCTTGAGATGATCATTGCTGTAGCATGTTGTCTGGGCAATGTGCTGGTGATCTGGGCAGTGTGGACATGTGGAGCCCTCAGGCAGCCCACCTTCTGCTTCATTGTGTCCCTCGCTGTGGCTGATTTCCTGGTGGGGTCTGTGGCCATTCCTGTAGCTGTGGTGTGGGAAATCCATATGAAGACCTCCTTTTATGGCTGCCTTTTCATGTGCTGTGTTTTCATAATGCTACAGTTGGCTTCTGGCTCTTTACTTCTGGCCATCGCAGTGGACCGCTGTCTCCGTGTACGCATCCCTCTGACGTGAGTTGTCCTTATATATAAACCCATAACTATACTTAGCACTGTACTACACCTTGAAGATCAACAAGTAGTGGGTGATATACTAGCTAGAAGTCTTTGTAAGGTATTTGTTTCACCAGTACTCCAGAAATAAGAGTTTACAACGTACAAAGTGTGTAAAACATGCTAATGAGAGCCAGGCTTCCTTTAGTAATCACTCATCTCCTGCTAAGTAGTCACTTACAGTCTGAGTCTAATGTTAGTCTAGGTTGTTATTGAGGGGGCAAACAGAGAGACACATGGAAGGAATATATACAGTCATAAGGCTCAAGTCCAAGTTATGTGAATCAAGACCACGCCACTGTCTATTAGGTCTTGCAGGTAGTTGTTAAGAGCCCCATTTTGTCTGTATCCTTTTAAAAACTCCTTTTGAAAATACTTGTTTTCTTTTGACTTTCCCCTTCCTAATGAAAGTGGATTATCTTATACCTAATCTTAGAGAAATCCCCTTTAGGCATTTTAAATACACATGAGAAAGAAATATTCACATATTTAGTAGTTGTTTGTGTGAATGTGAAAAAATATTCCTGCAGATTTAAAAAAAAAAATTAAAAGCAAGTTTCCTAAAAAGAGCATGCATTACAAAACACACTAAATACTGAAAAAAAAATCTGTTAACTACATTTTTTGCTTTTTTCTGACTCTGAAAAAACTAATAACTTATACTTGTCCTGGATCGGTCTTTGAATTATGAAGTGAAACAAATACAATACATTAGCTTCTCCTTTCAATCCTTTTAAATTATTTAAAATTGAAACAAATAAATTGTTTTCTACTTGTTTTCCAGGTATAAGTTTACAGTTACTCAAAAACGTTCTTGGATGGTGGTTGCAATCTGCTGGTTCACTGCTGCACTGTTGAGTTTTATCCCCATGTTTGGATGGAACAACTATAACACTTGGAATAGTACAACACTTGCAAACTCCACCAGTTTTAAATGTAGATACTTCACTGTTAACAGCCGCTCATATCTAATAAACTTCATATTCTTCGGCTTCTTCCTTCCTCCGTTGGCTGTCATGACAGGCTTGTACTGTTACATCTTCCTGACCACTAGAAGGCAACTGAGAGCAAATATAGGTGCAGCTGCCGAGTCCCACAAATATTACCAAAAAGAACAAAGGCTGGCTGCTTCACTGGTTCTGGTCTTGGGTCTCTTTGCTGTCTGTTGGCTCCCTCTATTCATCATGCACACTATAAAATTATATGGTCCTAATATTAAGGTGCCCTCTGTTCTCATTTACATAGGTGTCCTCCTCCCTCATGCTAATTCAGCAGTTAACCCCATAGTGTATGCATTTAAGATTCCAAAGATAAAACAGGCATGTAGGAAGCTGTGCATTAGAGTTTACCATGGCAGAGGACATCAGCAGAGAGACAGTACAAAAAACAGCAGCACAGAAAACAGAAGTGCTACACAGGACTCAGAGTTGTAAAAGTGCAAGTGATGATATATATAAGATGCACAAAGACCATAGGTCTAAATCACGTGTCAAAATCCAGAACTTTAATATTTCTACTGATTTTTCAATTTCTTTTGCATAATTAAGGTAAACAAAGTTCTTCAGAAAGGTTTGATCTAAACTACCCACAGTGGTGGTGATAGGAACCAAATGTGAGTTTAATTTCTCTAAAAGCTCCCTCACAGAAAGTTATTACATGAACAGGTTAATACACTGACTGATACCTGATGCTTTGTTTTTAGATAGTGTTGAGATAAGGATGTGGAATGAACCATCTTCTAAAATTTATTCATTCATGGCAAAATTGTTCCCCACAAAAAACGTATTTTTTCTGATTTCCCTTCACTATTTTACCATTACCAATAATACATATAAAACTCAGAAGACACTTGTAGGTTCACTGCTTGTCTCAGATAGTAAGTAAAATGGCTACATTTATGTTGTACATATTGCAGCCTCTGATTTCTTATCACCACCACCGTAAAGATGTTGGTGTCTGTTAATTTCTTTACAGTGAATCTTTTCAAATAAACTCTGAATGACTGTTAACATTTCAGTACTCAAATTCTTAAAAACTAGGCACAACTCCCCTTTTTAACACACCTGATTGAGCTCTTCAGCACGTTCACAAAGCTAGTTTAGAGTGTTAGAAGAAGGAAAAGTCTCAAACAGAACGTCTGTTGTTATAGTTCTTCCATTTAAAAGCCTATCAGTCAAAAACGGGTCTGATGGTAACATTGATCTCTGAGTGAGAGTTCAATATCTGCACAAAAAAAACGAAGCTTAGTCAAGAAATGATGTATGAGGTTTCCACAACTTTATTTATTTATCAAATTCTCAATTTATTTTTGCCCTTTTTTCAATTGTTTGCCATATAAAAATGATCAAGCTTTATTTGCCATTTTGAAGCAGATATGTAACTTCTTTCTTTGGTTTTCCATGGTTTGTGTTAATAAAGCTTGTTAAAGCAGGCATTAGTTTCTCCTGTTACTTTAGCAGTACATTAAGTTTGACGAGAGGCTGCAGCCTTCTGTCAGCAGGACGTCTATACCACAATGACTCCAGGCCACAGTCTGACATGGGGCAGCAGCTGACAGTCACATTTTCTATATATTATTTCTTTTTTGTCTTAAACTGTCACTTAGTCAGAGTGACAGAAACAAATCAAAGTGACCAAAATCAAAAAACAGTGATAAATATATTGAATTTTAATTTTCTATGGTCTTTTTGGGGTTATTTAAAGGAGAATTTCACCAATTTTTCCAAATGTCTACATAATTAAATCATTAAGGTGTAAACAAAGTCATTCTAGGTGGTCTGATGTAAAATGCTCTGTTCTAAAGAAAAGTTCAGAGTCAGAATTGTTCACAGTGGTGGTGATTGGAACCAAACATCTGAAATTTTTAATGCCCCTGAAAGCTCCCTCACAGAAAGCTAACACATGAAGTAGTTAGGAATGTGCTGCCTGATGCTGATGCCTGAGATATTGTTCTATGATAGTTTTTTTTAGATTTGCTACTGTTTTGCAATCATTAACTCTTTGCCCTGCGATGGACTGGCGACCTGTCCAGGGTGTATCCTGCCTTCTGCCCAATGACAGCTGGGATAGGCTGGGACAGCACCCCACCGCGACCCAGAAGGATAAGCGGTTTAGATGATGTATGTATGTATGTATGTATGTATGTTAGAAAAAAACTAAGTAGAGAATCTCAACTAAGCTGGATAGCAGTTGAGTATGTATTGGTTGTACTGAATCTTTGAAACATGATATTCAAAATACAAACATTGCAAAGCATACTGTTTTAAATATTTGACACATTGAGTTAAACAACTAGGAATTATATCAAGTTGTATAATTTGTTATGTTAATTAAAATAACTGCTCCTGTATCCAGTGGTTCATGGCTGTTTGGTGGTTGCCTGGGCAATCACTGAAGACCAACTTCACACCTTCTATTGCCAGAAGCATTTGTTCAAATAAAACTTCAATAAAAGGTCTTTATGATTTGCACGTCTCTTTTCTTAAGTTTCTGTGAACAGATGGGTGAAATTGCAAATAGCCGCATTAGCAACGATGTAATAAATCAGTACAATTTCGAATTATACCATTCAGTCCGAAAATAACTGGACAGTGACATCATTTACAGAAAGTATAGAGAAAGCACACTTAAGTGAATATACTGTGTCACAATCTATCAAAAATACATTTAAGTGAGAGTAAAAACACAACGAAATGTAAACACTCGAGTATATAAGAATACAAAGTAAATGTTTTTACAGGTAAAATTAGACGTCTTTTTTCTGGTGTAAAGATGCCCTGATGTATGGTATGGTGTGCAGTTTCATTTTACATTTACATGAATGTAGATGTTTTACTGAAAAATATATTAAAATGCAATAAAAACTTGAAAAAAGAAATCTTGCACATGCAATTGTTAAATGGAGAATTCATTATTGTAATGATCTTCGCAAGAGTTCATATGTCACCCTCATTTTAAAAGAACTGCACTGGCTTCCTGTGTCTTAGTTCTTTTACTTGTTTTTAAAGCTCTACATTGTCTAGCACCATGAACATCACACGTTGGCCTCGCAAGACAAACTATTTGGGTGCCCCTGGCCTAGAACCTGTGTACCTCACTGGCTAAACTACCAACTTAATTATCGCATTTGACAAAGCTTGCTGGTTTGTGTGATGTATTTTGGTGTGGTTGCCAGTTTTATTATGTCAGTTAAGTGCTTAGCAGTGTTAGCTTGCATGTAGCAATATTCGGATTTTGGCTTCTGAAAAACCTCAAAATTCTTCAGATGTCATGATGTTTGGAGGAAAAATGTCTGTACTGCAAAATGTATCAGCTTTGTAAATTTTTGGAAATTCAGAAGAGGATCACATGAAACAAAACTCTCAGACATCAGCCTAAACTAGATCAGCTTCACTGTTTGTTTGTCTCTACTTCTTTGTGAAGTATTGCCACTTTCACTGAGAGTACTGAATGTTGTTTAACTGCTTGTCCTGCTGTGTTTTTGACCTGATTTGTTGTATTGTTTTCTGACCTGTCTTTGGATGTCCCTTTTAGCTGTTTTAGTTTTTTAGCAGTCATGTGACAGTATGATAAGCATCCTCTAGCGGTACGTGACAGTTATTACAGTGACACATTCTAAATGACAGTGCTACGCTCTCTACTCTAGTTTGTCCCACTTATTACAGTAATTGCAAGATGAACACTGCATTGTCATTCCAATTCTCATCATTTTCTTGTCTTTACTATAGCTTGAACCACTCTTTTTAAAATCTTGTAGATAATTTCATCGAGAGGTGTGATTCCAGTTAGCATTCTTTAATTTGTCTTAAGATAATCCACTGTACAAAAACAAAAAGTTATGACACTGTGCAAAATGTAAATAAAACAGAATGCAATTATCTGTACATGATTTAAATTCTATATTTAATTGAAAATAGTACAAAGACAACAAATCAATGTGTTATAAAATAATTATATATTTATAATGTTAATATAATGATCATGTTATATATTGATAATATATATCATATATTAAATATGAAGCACTATCTCCTCACAGCAAGAAGGGCCTGGGTTCGACCAAGGTCCTCTCTATGTGAAGTTTATATGTTCTTCCCATGTCTGCGTGGGTCTCCTCCAGGTGCTCCGGTTTCCCACAGTCCAAAGATATGCAGGCCAATTGGACATGCTAAATTGCCCCTAGGTGTCAGTGTGTGTGTGAATGTATACGTCTGTCTGTCTGCCCTGCGATGGACTGGCGACCTGTCCAGGGTGTTTCCTGCCTTCTGCCCAATGTGTATATATATATATATATAAATATATATATATATATATATATATATATATATATATATATATATATATAAAACAGTGTAACAATTCAAGAATAACATTTCTCAATGTAAAATATAACAAACAACTTGGGGATTCATCATCTTCATGATATCATTAAAAGATTCAGAGAATCTGGAGAAATCTCCATACACAAGGGACAAGGCCGAAAACCAATATTGGCTGGCTGTACTCTTTGGGCCCTCAGACAGCAATGCATTAAATCAGACTTGATTCTGTAGACAAAATCATCTGCATGGGCTTAGGAGCACTTCTGAAAACCTCTTTCTGTGACCACAGTTCATCACTGCATCTACAAATGCAGGTTAAAATTCCACCATGCAAAGAAGAAACCATATATAAACAGGATCCAGAAATGCTGCCGCCTTCTCTGGGCCCGAGCTCATTTAAGATAGACTGAGGTGAAGTGGAAATGTGTCCTGTGGTCTGACAAATCAAAATTTCAAATTCTTTTTGGAAACCATGGATGCTGGACCTCCAGGCTAAAAGATTCAGAGAATCTGGAGAAATCTCCGTACACAAGGGACAAGGCTGAAAACCAAGAATGGGATAACAATTCACTTTCAAAACTATGATATGTTGCCTTTGTACTATTTTCAATTAAATATAGGTATTAAACGATTTGCACATCATTGCGTTCTGTTTTCATGTACAATTTGCTGAACATCCCAACTTTTTTGGAAATGGGGTTGTAATATGTTTTAAGATATCTAGGCTAGTTAATGTTCACAAAAGCTAAATTTATGACTACTCAAACTGTAGTATTTCACAGAGCAACCAATAGGAATAAAATAGTTCAGATCAGATTAATTTGCTGACGTAGAAACTGGCGATGTATAAAGCAGAGTTAAAGGACTGGTTCAGATATCTTTGAGAAAATGCAGCAGATCTCAGTTCTGACAGTAAAAATAAAATAGTTACTAAACGTTCTGTTGGTTGGTTGAATAAAAGACTGTGAACTGTAGCTGAAGATTGAGATTCTTCAGAATTCTCTCCTGGTGCAGAAGCCTCCTCTACTCCTCTTCCACAAGTATAAAACTTCTCAAGTCTACACGAGTCACAGGACATATTTATCATTAAAAACAGTGAATTTTGACAAAGGGCCACAAGTCTGTGTGTGTGAGGTTTGAATGTAATCCTGATGGTAATCACCCCATTTTTAGAATGTTCCTGTAATCTGATTACTGTCTTTTTGCCTGTAATAATGTAATAACTGTAATTACAGTTTTTTTGTATCCTGATTATGTAACAATGTTACATGTTCTCTGTTACTACCCCACTTTGGTCATATCTGTGGCACGTTAACACAATCGTGTATCCTAGTAATGGTATTAAAATGTACACAGCTGTTGCACAAGTTGTGGTGCTTTATTAACCAGCTGTTATTGGTCAGAGCTATACAAAAGCATTTCCATACATATACCCCCCCCACAACCCCCCCTGTTGGAACTAGCC